AGACTTCTGATTCCTTTCACCACTTTCACATCCCACTATATGTCTAAGTCTGTAGGTCTGTATGGCCTAGAAATAACAAGCGCACAGAGCTTTACATGAAAAATTTACACTTTGCCTTTACTGATAATTCATCCAACTAGTAGCAGGCTGATTTTAATTGTTTTTTAAAAGTGATTTTGAAAAATTCATACCCGGTCTTTTCATATAGAATGAAGTTCTCAGCAAAGATATTTCTGATGCCTTCATTTAAACTTTGCATAAAGATAGACATTATACCAATCTAAATCAGGTTAATAACCTTTGTATATACCTCTGTCATTTTATAGACAATTTTTATGTTCAATTAGTTTGCATCTGTTCATTTGCTACCACAGACTAAATTGATACTAGGCACATTTAAACCAATAGAATTTTTTCTTTGGAGAGATTGCATTTGTTTACCAGGTAAAATATTTGTTTGAAATGTCTTTCTTTATAATGATAGTACAACTAAGTAACTAGTTGAGTAAGAAACTAGGTCTAATCTCTTACCTGTTCTGTATGGAATTATGCTATAAAGGCTGCCTTTTAAAATAAGCAAATTTTAAGATGGTTATTTTCAGTTTGTGATCTGCAGATACCTGGTGGATCATGGACTACTTTAAAAGGTTTTATTAAAGATAACCAAAGAAAACAAACCTATGGAGAGTGAATTTAATACACTGAAATTTGGGGTCTGTGTTTCCATTGAAAAAGCATTTTTGGATTTTGCAAAAGACAAACTGCAGGAGGCTAAAAATCAATGTTCTGATACTTCTGTGATAGAGGGAAGATACCAATATTTTAAAACTTGATATAGCCAGGTAGCAAGCGTACTGTTTTAGGACCCTATTAGCACAGCTCTTTCTGCAAATACCTACTGTTATCAAATGTCCTCTAGAATACGTTTGCGTTGAATTTAGAGATTTGCGTATGCTTGCAAGTTGATTCACATTATAGTAGGCCATAATTTTAAAGCATTACAGCCTTATTTATGATCATTACATGTAGGTGTTCAGTAATAACCCCTCAACACAGCATACTGCCAGCCTGTGATGTAATGTGACCTTTGAATGAGAACAGATCAGTTTTGCTGATGTAGATACTCTGCTGTAAGGGTGGAGAAGAATGAGGGACAAGAAAGCGATATGTAACATATACATGCTATGTAAATGTGTAGCATACAGTTGTGCTGCCTGGAGTCAGGTTTCTTTCAGAAAATGACCTTAAGCCCTGTTTGTATTTTGAGAGCAAAACCTGCGTCTTCACTTGAACATTTGCTGTTGTACTCATAACAGCATCCCCAGGCTATCACTGTTAAGTTTAAGCAGGGCTTCAGTGCAGGCTGTTTTATTGCAAGTCTGTTCCATGAGGTCTCATTCTGACAGCTTCTACAGTGCCTTTATACCTCTTCAATTTAAAATTCTACCATGTGTTTAGAAGAACAAAATATAAAATAATTATATTGACATATTAATAATGGGCTAGTGCACTAATGTTACCCTAAACTCCCCAAAACCGCCAAAGCTTCTTTACAATCCTACAGCCTTTCCCATGGGCAGAAAGAGAGGATCTGCATCAAAATCTGACATGACTGGAAGAAGGGACCCACGGGATTCTCTTAGTTCATAATGCTGTAATAGCAGTCTGTTAGAAGTCTACTAAACTTGAGCAATAATATGATAAGCAATCCAAAGTTATCTCTGTGATAGTTCTCGAAGGTGATTGTTGGTGAATATTTGAATGTCAACAATCCCAGTAACTTCTTTTACTATATTTTAAAAATTACTTCCCCAGGGATAATTCGGGTAGAAAAACTGAACAACAGACTTCCTGAATAGAATATATTTCCTAAAGGCTTATAATTGATTAATGGTGTTTCTTAAGCAGATAAAGCAGGGGGGCACATCTTGAACTATACATTCTTTTAGAATTATTTTTTTTCCCCACATGAATTATTCAAGTTACTTTTTGAACCTGTTTTTATCCAGTCACTTACTGGGATGATTACAAGTAGATATTATTTTCCAATAGCTTTTTTTCCTTTTTCCTTCAAAGATTGAAATATTCCCTGAGTCATCAATTAAAATATTTCAAGTTACTGTTTTGAAGTTATGATTTTGTGTTCTGTCCACAGGTGCCGCTTCAGCCAAATGCTACATCCTATTTTTGAGGAAGCTTCTAATGTAATTAAGGAAGAGTATCCAGATAAGAATCAAGTGGTGTTTGCCAGAGTAGACTGTGATCAGCATTGTAAGTAAATCCCGATTTAGGTTTTTCTGTGCAATCCTGCCAGTAAGTTACTCACTGTATTGAAGAATATACTAGGCAGCAATCTAAAGTGTGGTTGGACCTGCCCCATCATTTAGCCCCGAGTTGTTTGTATACATCAGTGAACCTGTTCTTCGAAATTTGTCAGGGCAATCTCTAGTGTTCCTTTCTCATTGCATCCATAAACATGCATTTATATCTCTTCAGCCTGTCTCATTTAATGGGGAAAAAAGAGCTGGGATTATAAATTGAATTGGCTTGTTGAGGAGTCAGAGAACCATTAGTGCTACCAATGGTGCAGTTCTTCACAACCTCCACTGTCAGCGTCAGGATGGTGTTCTGCTCAGGCCTTCCCTCCATCTAGGAATCATGCTGGACTGTAAGGTGACTTTTGCACAGCCAGGAGGGGATCAGAGCTTTTCTGCTTTGCTGTTTGTACACATGCCAACAAATGGTTGCCTCTTTGGGTTCTCCCCACACCCAGAAATACATGAAAATTATATGCCAAAACTTATGCATTTTATGCTGGTATTAATCCCAAAAGTTGCTTTTTAATCCCATAATAAGTAAAATGTAAGGAACATCTGCTACACATAGAAAGACAAATGGATAGTGCCAAAATTTTTATTATGTTGCTTTTTATAGTCTAAGATCAGCTTTTCTGTTTTATGCTTCTGGAAGAGCAGCACTTGCAGACATTGTTTCTTCACAGTGGCTTCTGACTCCCAAAGAGTAGTACCAGTTGCAAGTGGCTTCAAATCCCAGCAGAAATTCAGTTCTAACCAATACAGATCATAATATATGGGCTTTACAAAACTGTTAATTTGTAAGAAGAATCACAGTTGGAAATTTGAGGAATCACTGTACAGAGTTATTAGTTTGTATCTGTAGCATGTCCCTGGGACTTACTGTTGACCTAATAGTTTTGGTTTAGTGCTCTGTTAAAAAAAAAAAAACCAAACCCAAACTAAAGAGAACCTTAGAGGACAGAAAAAAGTCAATTGCATTATCTGTGAAAAGTAACTGATTTCATTTACCTTTTTCTTTCCCATTTTGACAATCTAACTTTTATGGTGTTAGAGAGGATTTTTCCCTATAATGAGAATTCTTCAAGTGTCTTGGTTCTTACTTGCAGATTTAAAAGTCAGTAAGTCTGCTTGAGCATCTTCCACTGGCACCATTTTGTGTTTTGTATGCATGCATGTAGTTGCCCAACAGTAAGAGCACCTGTCTTGTGATCTTGAAAGAGATCTCAAGCATTAAAAAAAAAAACCAAAACTTTTAAGGGAGTGAACAGTATCAAGTCAGTTTCTGAAATGTAAGATAAGCTGATTCTTCAAACTGTCAGGAGTGGCCAAGGAGATTCTGTTTTGCCCCTTCCCAAAGATCAGTAAGACCAATTCATGACCGCAGGAAACTTAAACGCCTCTGGGATTAAATTTCTGAGTCACTGGGATATCAGACCCCCTTTATAGCCTCAGCTGGAAAAGAGGCATGGCAGTATTCACCTAGGGTATGTGAGCAGCTTTGAAGCATTCAGCTGCCTTGCTATGTTGGAGTGGTAGGGATGTGCTGGGGAGCTGGTACAAAAGTTTGAACGTACGTGTTCTTGAAGAGCAGTTATGTTAGACACATGGTTGTAGAATCTCTTCCTCTGAGCAGATCTCTTCTAGTGCCTTGAATACAGTGTAGAACAGCATACTTGTGTAACTGCCTGTAGCCTTTCCAGAGCAGCAGCAAAATGGACAGGGGTGTCTGTACGTAATGTGCTTCAGGAGATACGCTTTAGTCTCCTTGACTTACAAGTCCAATAGTATTTCTTTCTTTCTCATTATAATGTTGTCTCTGTTAAGAGACTGTTTTCCTACCTCCTTCCTGAGCAGCCTTTTCCAGAATCATAGATCTTTTGGGGGTTGGTGGGGGTTTTCTTTTGTTTTGCTTTTTTGGTGTTTTTTTGTTTGTTTCTTTGATTTTTGTTTTTGGTGGTTTGGTTTGGGTGGGGTTTGTTGGGGTTTGGTTTTGGTTTGTTGGGGTTTGTTTCTTGGACCTGGAATACCTTCCCAGATCTCAAGTACTTAGCTGCATTTTCAGCTTCTTTCTCTTTCACACTTGGTGTTCTGTTCTTCCTATCATCTGTCTAATATGGTGTGTGCTTGGGAGATCTTAACCAAAAGCATAGCGTTAAGTATTCAAATTTGCCATCCCTAAAAGCCTATTTTCAAGTAAGGCAATGAAATCATTTGGAGGAGTATATTGAAGGCAAAGTCTGATATGCAGTCTTTGCTGAAGTTTTCTTACTGAGTTTTTTGTCTGTCTTTGTTCAGAGATCACTGCAGGATCTACACAAATAAACTGCCCCTGATCTTTGCAATTGTAGAAAATAAATGCGGTTGTAGGAAACATGCTGATTGATTTTGTATCAGCTTATTAAACCAGTCACTCTACATACTTGCAATTACTTTTGCATATACTTTTGTATATATTCTATCACTTTCATCAGTGATAGTTTCTCAAATTAACTTGAATCAAGTTGGGGGGGGAGAGGGGAATTAAGGACACTCACACTTTCACTTTACTTGATTTTTATGGTTGTCCTTAATAAATAAGACTAATCTCAGTGTTTAACAGTCTAGTTGGCTCACCTTTTCACTGAGTCAAGATACTGACAATGAAACTTTCTATAAAGTTCTCACAAAAGACTAGTAATATCAGCCTGTGATGTTAAGTTTTATTGTTAAGGTTTACATTAAGAACTGAAGTCCTTATTTGTTTGCTGCAGCTGTAGTTGCTCAGGTAACTCTGAGAGTCTTTGGGCTGCTGGATGCCCAGTGTTTAACCATGAGATATTCTTATCTTAGCAATTACGTGCCTAAGAAACGCCCCCCACCCCGCCAAGTATTTGAAACACTTCAGAAGCTTGTTGCTTAATCTTCTCCTCGTGTGCTCATTGAATTGAGCTCATCAGAGCTTGTTAAGGAGAGCTAAGGCCTGGATGGAGGAGGAGATGCTACAGCAGAGATTGTCTTCTTTCCCCAGGGAGTACGCGTAGTGGGCTAAGTAGTATGAGGCAGCCAAGAGTTTTGGTCTTTATTACTGGAATACCATGAGTTCTCCATACTTACTCTTTGTCCTTAATTTAAGAAGTAGATGAGCATGACGTCGACTACAGAAGCTGTAACACATGAGAATTAAAAACAAAATCCTATAATGACAGAGCAATCTTTCTCCCCAATTTGCATTGCCTTTTTGAATTAAAATAGCAAAGCTGTGTATGTCATTCCTGCTTTCTAGTGTTTTTCTGGGTTGCAAGCAATGGTACATTTCATGGCACACAGTTATTTATATGTCCTAAAGTTTTAAGTATTTTAACTTTGATTTTCATGTGTGTAATAGCAGCTTTTTAGTAAGAGGGTGAATGTTACTATATTATCCAGCTTGGGCCTGCTGTAGTAGTTTACTAAATGTTGGAGTCAAGATTGTTACTGTCTTTTTTTTTCCTGTTTTACCTTTATATTTTTGTATGAGTTTATATATTTTAGCAACACCTAGAAGGTTTATGCCAATATTTTGGGGTTCATTATGCCTGCAGATTTCATACCACTAGTAGTTCACTATTAGGATGATGTTCTAGAGATGGTGGATTATTTGCATTACAAATGATCTGTTTCTTTTTGAAGCCAAGACTCTGTAGGGAATCCAAATAGCTGATTTCAGGCCACTCAAAAACAGCTTTCAGAATGGTCAGCCAGGCATAGATACTTTCCATTTAATGCACTATTATTGAAGCACACTGCAGGGCCCAACAGCTCACACCAGCTTCTGAGGGTAAAGCAAATTAGAGAGAATTATTGATGCACTGCCAAATGTTTGATGCTTAATGACAAAACCATCATTCTGTCTGCTCTTATAGCCAATATAAAGATGTTTTTCTGGAAAGTGATAGGCCCCAATGTGATTCAATACAAAATCTAAATATTAACACTATATTAAGCCTCTGTATGTGTTATATTTTACACCAGTTTATAATATTGTGGAAGATAATTATAACTGAAATGTGTAAGGTAAGTCATCAGGCTGTTTTTAAGCTGGTGTGGAACATACGCTAAAGGTAAATCTGTTGAAACAGGTACTCTTCCACTTTCCAAGACCTCATCCTTTTATAACTTAGAGATATCAAAGTTCCACTACATTGTCTTGCTGTTAAAATCTTTGGTGGTTTTGGTGTGTTAGATTTAGTAATTCACTTATATTAAAAATTATGCACCTCTATTTTAAGTGTAATACCTGGTAAAATTGACCTTCCATATAAAATTATAGAAGATCTTTCTCCATATACATTATTAGGAAGGGTTTGTTTTGGTGTTTGTTTTTTTTTTTTCTTTTGCTTGCTTGAGGGTTTGGTTTTTTTGTTTTGTGGGGTTTTTTTTATCCTTTGTGTTAAGCAGCAATGTTGGAAACTCACTCGGTATCATGAATTTCCTATATTTCTCTTCTCTGTGAGTGAATATTGCAGTGTAGAACTACTAATGTTTCTGGAGGAGGTTTTGTGTTTTGAACACTTTCTATGAATTCAATATTAGGGTTGTGGTACAGATTTCTTATAAATTGAAGTATATATTGGGGTTTTAATTCTACTGCACTATTATTTCCTTTGGTTTCTGAGTTTAAAAAAAAACTGGTTTGAATAAGATTTTGCGCTTCTAAACAGAAGACAACTCTCTGGTGGGGTGTCGAGAGATGCTTTTCTAGACACACTGTCTAGGGAACTCTTGTTCTTTCTTTCAAAACATGCGTGGATGGTACTCTCATTCAGTACAGTGAGCTGCTGATCCCTCTGGGTCTGGCCATTCCTGTAATGTATGCTAGCATTAGTCTTCAGTTACTTAGATTGTATTGCTACTGTGCCTTTGGTAAGCAAAATAACTCAGTACAGTAACAAATTTGGAGGTTCATAAATGAACCATAAATGAAACTGTAAACAA